GTCACTCAGTTCGAAAGATATTTTTAAAAGGCTTTATCTTAACTAAATTAAGAAAAGCTTTAAGTAATTTAGTGATTCATTCTTTTGAAATTATTGTTACGAATTATGAAAATATTCCTTCTTATGTTTAAAGAGAAAAAATGTTCCGCAAATTTTAAGAAACCCCAGTAAGTACAAGTTAAAGTTCAAGCTACAGTGGCGGCCTCATAGAAGGGTCGTCACACTTATTATCTTATCTTATCATATCTTATCTTTCTTTCTTGTGGGCCCGAGTGCTCGCGTACCACTTGCGCGTAATCATCGGGACGTGAGGGTTTGCAAGGTCCCCCACGACACCGTGATTATAACTTGAATGCCTCCCTTGAGTCGGAGGACATTATTATTATTTTTTCTTTTCTCCCTTGCAGAGCTTAAGTTACCTCACTTGAGTCGGAGGCTGGTACGGCACTCAACTGAGATTATTCTTATAAGTTCCTCTTGACTTATTAAGATGTATGCAGTATGACATGGCATCGCATACAATACTTAAAGCATAAACATGGATATATAACATGTGTAACTTTTTCTTTAAAATCTATTCATGCTGTAGGCGAGATTCCTACTTACCTGATTTACAGAGTTGGAATCCACTTTTCGCCAAACAGCCTATTCTCTTACTGGCTTATTTCTGAAAATGAACACCCATTGAGAGTGTAAGATTATCTGTCGTTTGCTATTCTATTTTAGTAACTTATGAAGGAAATCTAACCATTTTTTTAAGTCAGGTATTTCATTTCCTTTACTGAAGGATAATTTACTATAAGGATCAATTTATTAAATCCTCAAAATCTTATTTTCCTTAATTGCCCTTAACATACTTATGTCTAGATTGAAAATAAATTACCCAATCTAGTAACTTATTCTCCATAATTTTCCTCATTGGACTTATTATGATATTAGGCCCAATTTGGCCTAGTAACTTATTTACGGCATTCTAACTCTTAGGCCGTTGAAATTTAAACTAAAACGGAGTCTTTTAAATCAATGCGGGCGTTGAACCCACATCAATCCTTCAAAATTCTAAGGACCTATCGTTTTGGCTCGTAGGTGCCCGTCGTGATGATTTGCTTGATAAACCACTAAATACTTTGAAAGAAAGCATTTTTTTGTTGAAAACTTTCTTTACGAATACTTCGGTCAAAATGAGGTTTAATACCATAGTATTTTACTTAAATCACATCTCGGATTTTTTGATAACCTTTTGTTAAAATCTGACACTGTTTTAGTTTTGTTTCGTTAAAACTGTACAATTTCTGAAATCTGTATTTTACTACATCCTAGAGTTGGATTTCAAAAATTTGTTCTTCATGACAATTCTTTGTCTCATCAAGATCTAAAATTATTATTTTTAGAGAAAGTTGAAATTCAGCATCTAAAGGCCTCGTTTGGCTGAAACCAGTGGCTGATATTTTTCTTGAAAGTGTTTTAGTCCAAAAACTGTGCCATTTCGGAAATTCGTATTTTACTACATCTTAAGTTCGGATTTTAAAAATCTGTTTTTCATAAAAATTCTTCGTTTTGTCGAAATCTAAAATTTTTGTTTTTATGAAAAATTGAGATTCAGCATCTAAAAGTCTCATCTGGCTGAACCAGTGGCTGCCAGTTTTTTTTTTTTTTTGAAACTGTTTCGGGCAGCTTGTCCGTTTTTACAAAATGGCTTCAAACTTGCTTTTAGAGTTAAAGCTATGTTTTGTCACATTCACAGAAAAATGTTCAAAACATCGAGGGGTATATGTTCAAGCTTTGAAACACCGAAAAATTTCGCTCTAGTGTCCTCACTTTCGTGTTCAAAGTAACCGGAAAAATTTTTCTTCTAACCGAAAATAATCAAATTTCAACTAAATATAAACATACCACATATTGCTAATCAAACTAACCTCAAACTCACAAAACCAACATAAAACTCACACACCCTTATTACAATCTTATCTCCTTAAGAGCGACAAATTACATCCATAAATTCAAGCTTAAAGTTGGTTAGAAATAATGGAGAAGAGTTTAAGAACTTACCCTTGAAGAACTCTCTCTCTCTTAAAAACCTTTGAACTCTTCTAAGATTTGTTAATGGCTTGGAACTAGAAGAGTATAAGGAGTTTTGAGAAGAATATTTCTATATTTTCAAACTTTACCAAAACATGAAAAAGAAAGGATTTAGAGTTATACCCTTGGAAAAATGCTTGTCTAGACTCCTCCTAGACCCTTTGATCTCCTTCTTCTTCTTCTATGGTTTGCTAGTGGCTCAAGATTGGGAGAGTAGGAGAAAATATTTGAGAGAGAATGGAGGAGTGTCGTATGGTCGGGTTTTGAGGAGGAGAGAAAAGCTAGGAGAAAAAAATGAGGCTTATCCTATGATGGTTCCTTTTATAGACAACTTGGAAATTATTATTTTAACACCACATCAACTCCCTCAATCAACCAAATTTTGGTTCAATTCCCCCAATCTTGGCCAGTTATGGAAGGAGAAAAGAAGAAGCAAATTTGCCATTAATTCCCCTTCAACCACTACCATCACATCACACCTTAACTTGTAACTTTTTAGCACACTCAACTAGCCAAATTTTGGCTCTATTTTCCTATGCATGGCCGGCCAAGTAGAGAAGGAGAGAGAGAAAAATATAACCCACCCCTTGTACTTTTGTCAACTCTCTTAAGTTTCCTTTGAGTCAGATAAAAATCATACTGACTGCAAAGAAGTACTTAGTCGACAAGAAATTCTAGTTTCTGACGGTTCCTTTTCTACTGCTTATTTACAGTTAAATGTTAAATCCTTGACTACTTTGAGATCACATTAAATTCTCACTCGCGTAATATCTTGAACTATTTCAAGTCTTGAAATTAATTCTAGACTGTACAAATTATAAATTTAACTTTTCTGCATTCTATCCTGGGAATGACGTTGTTTCTAACGGTGTCAACTCCCGAGCTCACATTGTACCCTTCTGTTATGGGTATTTATCTTGTGACTTTAACCTAGCTGTCTGACAATTAAGGATTTTCTCTTCTTTTAAAATATCAGTGCGCTTTTTTTTACGCTGCTAATGTTGTGTTGTGCTTGGAGATTCTTGAAATTAAGATTCTCAAACTATACTTGTACTAAAAATCATTCCGCCTTAAAGTACGATGAGAATTTATCGATCGAATTTACTTGATCAAAAACATGAACTTAGCATGAAATCTGCTATATTTAGGAATACATATATTAATTCCATAAATCCTTCAGTCACATAATATTTTTTAGGAAAATCCTTGGCTTAAATAAATAAATTACATTATTTAAAGTCTGATATTTTCTCAGTCATTACAATGGAGGCTGGTAACTCAAGCTCTGCAAGGGAGAAAAGAAAAGAAAAAAATATATAATGTCTTCTGACTCAAGGGAGGCATTCAATTTATAATTACGGTGTCGTGGGGGACCTTGCAAACCCTCACGTCCCGATGATTGCGCGTAAGTGGTACGCGAGCACTCGGGCCCACAAGACAAGACAAGATAAGATAAGAAAGATAAGATAATAAGATTTTGATAAGACATCAAAATTAAGCATAATTGGCTCATGCATATTTATTCATGTGAACTTACAGTTATTTTGCGAGAGGTAGTTCTTAGTTGCTGAGCGAAAGCTCATTATAGAATGTTTATACTGTAGGTAAGCAACCGACATATAATGCCTGATGGACTGACGGCGAGTGGACGAACGATGTGGAGATTGGGAAATGGATACCGCTCATAGTATTTCCGCAATCAGTTTTATATTATAAATAATTTTGCTAATTATAACTCTGAAACTATATGTTAAGTGGTTTTAAGGATTATGGCTATTAGTAAGTAAGTTTTAAAGAGTAGATATATATAAATATAGTTATATGTATATACTTTGAAGAACCGATATGTTAAGGTTGTATATTTTATTAAGAAAGCAATTTGTATGTTATGCTTACTATAAGACTTTTTTTTTTTTTTAAAAAAATGTTCCGTAAATTTTAAGAAATTTCAGTAAGTACAAGTTACAAATTCAGCTACAGTGACGGCCTCATAAGAGGGTCGTCACAGCCACTCTCTTTCCTTCAAATGCGGTGTCTTTTTCCGTTATAATAAGTTCCAATGTTTAAGGAAAAAAAAAAGTTCCAAGTTATTTAAGATAAAGGTTCCGTTCATTTCGCTAATTCGAGTTTTATTACAATAAAAAGTTCTTACAAACAATCACATCTAATTTTTTCACTACAGTAAAAAATTCTCACATAATATAACATTTCAACTCAAATTAAAAACTCAAATCACGAACTAAACGGACTCTAAGACTTTCCGTTTGTATGTCGTGTCCGTGTCTTTGTTGACTTTGGGTCAACCTTTTTTTCTTCTTTCTTTCTTTTTTTTTTTTTTTTTTTTTTTTTTTTTTTTTTTTTTTTTTTTTTTCAGTGCCTAAAACCCTTTTTCCTATTGACGAAGACTTTCCATTCTCTTCCCCTGCTTGTAAGCTGCAATTGAGAACTCACCAAACTTATTTTTCCTTCTTTCCTTTCTTCCCTTGTCTCTGTAACTGCAATATCAACCAAAACCATGGCTGCTGAACTTGTTGGAGGAGCCTTCCTCTCTTCTTTGTTTGACAGGCTGTTTGACAAGCTAGCTTCTACAAAAGCTGAGGACCTCAACTTCTGTCGGGGATTGAAACTCAATGACTGGTTACTCAACAAGCTGCAGCTCAAGTTGTGCTCTGCTAATCAAGTCCTGGATGATGCTGAGATGAAACAACTCACAAACCCGCGTGTGAGGGTGTGGCTTTCTGAGCTCAAAGACGCCATCTGTGCTGCAGAGGAGTTGCTGGACGACATCAACTATGAAACTTTGAGGTACGAGATTGAAACTGGATCTGGAAGCATGTTTAAGAAACTCAAAACCACCATCTCTAGTTCTCACACTTCATTTGACCAAGCAATAGAGAAGATCCTTGATAAACTATATTTTATTGTCAAGCAAAAAAATGTCCTTGGTTTAAAAGAAGGTGTCACTAAAGGGCTTTCTCAAAGATCACCCGCTCCTTTGGCTGATGAATCTCGTGTCCATGGAAGGAATGATGACAAGAAGAAAATCATGAAGCTATTGCTTCCAGATAATGGTAGTAGTAGCGAGAACAAGATATCTGTGATTCCCATTGTGGGCATGGGTGGCATCGGCAAGACCACCCTTGCTCAGCTAGTATATGAGGATATAAGTGTGAAGAGTCAATTTGATATCAGGTCGTGGGTTACTGTTTCTGATGAATCTGAGATTTCTGTAATAGCGAAAAAAATTCTTCAAGAGATTACCTCGCAAAAATGTGAAACTGGGGGCCTCTATCAACTTCAATGCGAGTTAAAGGAGTCATTGAGCGGCAAGAGGTTTCTCTTTGTTCTGGATGATGTATGGACCGAGAACTATGAGCATTGGGAGGCCTTACTGAGTTCTTTCCAATCCGGAGCCAATGGAAGCGGGATCATTGTGACAACACGTAGTGATATCGTCACAAAGAGGATGGGAAATGTGCCTACACATCACCTTGGGGAAGTATCTGATGATGATTGTTGGAAGTTATTTGAGGAGCATGAGTTTATTAATGGTGCAAGGTCAGAGGCGTATCAAGAGCTACATGCCATTGGCAGAAATATTGTCAAAAAGTGCAAAGGTGTTCCTTTAGCGGTTAAGTCTCTTGCTGGTCTCTTGCGCTCGGTGGTGGATCCAGAAGAATGGAGAGAGATACTCAATAGTGACATATGGGAGTTGCAGTTGCAAGGAAATCAGAGTAACAACATTTTGCCTTCTCTGTGGTTGAGCTATCATTATCTACCTTCACATCTAAAGAAATGCTTTGCTTACTGCTCGATATTTCCCAAGGATTATGAAATGTATGAATTTAGAAAGGAAGAAATAATACGGCTATGGATGGCGGAAGGTCTTTTGCAATCTGGAAGGAGAGGGAAAAGAATTGAGGATGTAGGGAATGAGTACTTTCAAGATCTGATATCAAGGTCGTTGTTCCAACCATCGAGTAAGGATAAATCGACCATCTTAATGCATGACCTCTCACATGATTTAGCAACATTTGTATCGGGTGAATTTTCTTGTAGGTTGGATGACGGTGACAAAGCTAAATTTTCTGGCAAGACTCGCCATGTTTCATACTCCAAAACCAAGGAATGGGAGAGTTTTGAAGGTTTATCTATGGCTAAGAGTCTCCGCACTTTCATACAATCAGGATCACTCGAAACGATTAGCATCCAATTCCAACAATTGGAACGATTGCTATCTATCGGAGGATGCTTAAGAGCTCTTTGTCTATCTGAATCAGGCATCATAATATTGCCAGATTCAATTGGCAATTTAAAACATTTGCGGTATTTGGATTTATCATGGAATGGTAATATCAAAGAGATACCCAATACGCTTTGTAGATTGTATAATTTGCAGACTTTGCGATTATCGTGGTGCGGACAACTAACTCGGTTGCCAAACGACATGCGAGACCTAGTCAATTTGCGCCATCTTGAAATTGAAGGCGTATCACTGGAGGAGATGCCGCCTATGATGCGCAATATGAAAGACTTGCAAACACTATGCTACTTTGTTTTGTGCAAAAGGCGTGGCTCTAGCATTAAAGACTTGCAAGAACTTGCCATTAATTCTTCTATTGGGGAAACAATCCGTCCACGCTTAGCGATTTCAGGGCGCTATGAAAATGTGACGAAATTTCCAGAGACATTGCTTCCGACCACTCTGACTTCTCTTTATATTGAAAGGCTTGAGAATCTTAAAGTTCTGAATGGGGAGGGCTTTGAACACCTCACCTCCCTTAAAGTGTTGATGATCGAAGATTGCAAAGAGCTCCAGTGCTTTCCGGGAGAGATGCTGCCCACATCTCTCACTACTCTCGATTTAGAATCTCTTAATAATCTTGAAGACCTTGGCAAGGGCCTTCAACATCTCACCTCCCTTAAAAAGTTGACAATTTTTTATTGCAAAAGTCTCCGGTGCTTGTCAGGAACTGGGTTGCCCGCTTCTCTGACTTATCTCCGTATCATAAACCTTCCAAGCCTTGAAGACATAGGTGACGACTTCCTTCGACACCTCATCTCCCTTGAAGAGCTGCAAATTAGGGACTGCCAAAATCTCGAGTACAACGCAGTAGAAGAGAATGGGAAGGGAGTACTTGAGCAGCTCATCTCTCTTAAAAAGCTGCTCCTTGGGAATTGTGAAAAGCTCCAGAGCTTGCTCGAAGAGCAATTGCCCACATCTCTCACTTCTCTCAAGATCGCTGGTTTTCCAAGGCTTAGAGACCTGAATCGCATGGGATTTCAACACCTCTGCTCTCTTAGAGACTTGATGATTGAGAATTGCGAAAATCTGGAGTGCTTGCCTGACCTGCTGTCCTCTCTTGATTCTTTGCGTATCTCCAGATGTCCTCTCGTAGGAAGAATTGATAATTGGAGTTGGCGTCAGCGTCGCTTAGGTTAATCATCTTTCAGGTACTTTTCATTTCTCTCTTTATTTCTAATTTTAAGAAGAACAACTTTATTGCTTTCCATTTTAAGTCAACTCTTATTATTTAATTCCTTCATTTTGAATAATATTACTTTCCATCAGTGATTGGTCCTTTTTTTTTTTTCTTTTTTTTTTGGAATACGAGGTTCTTCCTCTGTTTCGGTTCCCTTTGTCTTTGATGTCTTTTTTGCTTCGTTTGTCATTTTCTTAATACTTTTATTAAAAAAGAATTCTTTTATTTCTCTTTCAAAAAAATAGTAGTAAAAAAAAAAAAACACTTCTATTTAATTCCTTATTCTTTTTCTTATATATATGGAATTAGAATTGGAATTGGAATTTTTTTTCGTATTTGTTCAGAGGCTATTTTCATTACCGATACAGAGCAATGAACTAATACAAAGGTCGAGTTATACATTTTGAGTGCACGAAAACTAGAACCATATTATTTATATATTTACTTATTTATTTTGTTATGTGTGGTTCTTAATTTTTTTTTATTTTTTTGCAAGAATATATGTTGTTGAAGTGTATCAAAGTCTTGTGGAATCAAAATTTGGTAATTTGGACATGAAAATGTTTAGAACGCTTATTCTTGAAGTATATTATGCTGGTAATTTTTCCAAACAGCGTTGGTTCGGCTAATATGCTAAAACCTTTAAATATTGAATTTTTGCAGAGTTGATATATAAAATCACACTCTTCATCTTGTTAAAACATTATTTTTATTTTCTTAATGATGATAGCTGTGGAGAATAAGATGCTTCTTTTGGCTACTTCTTTTAAGAGGATTTTTTTATCTAATTTGCAGCTGCTAAAAGCATAACAGCTGAGAAAAGTACTCTTCCACCAAAACCAGTTGAAAACAATACCAAGTCTAATTCAGGATTTGAGTATCTATTTAAAAATGCGCCTTGAAAAATCCCGGGAAGATGTGAAGAATGATATCACGAGTCTTTTTTGAGAAAGGTAAATATGCTGCTCTCATTTGCTAGTTATGACAGCAGTTTCTGGCACTCTTTCAATTTTGACTATATGGTCGAATATCCGTGAAAATGTCTCATTTCTTCGATATTCCATGTCTAGGAATGTTTAAATACGTGTTCTATCCGTGCTCCATAAAAACGAGAGATTCGACACTGCTGTGAATTAAATGAGGAAGCTTTGTGACAATGATGATAGAAGCAAATTAAGAAACTTGTTCAGTTCTTTCCAAACCAAGATCTCCTAAGCGGCTTGGGATTTCAACTACTCATCTCCGTTAAAGCTCAAAATTTTTGTTGCAAGAAGGGCTGCTTTCATCTCTATCATATTTCCATATCTCGGAATGTCCCTTGTTTGCACTGAGGGGTGTTAGGGATTGTGGGCTGATGGTATTAGGATGTTGATTGCTGTGTATCCACTCGTTATCCACAACTTCAGGTACTTTTCAATCTTCTTAAACGAGCTGCCTTCGTTCTGCTTTTCGGGAATAATTTATGTAGGTGCTTTCTTCAATTCATGCTCTGCTTCTTTTATGCCAATGTTTTAATAAGAAATTGAATAATAATTTTCAACTTCTATAAAATGAAGTTCATTGCACTATTCTTACTGATCTAGTTAATGATATGTAGGTTTAAGTCCTTATTCCCACAACTACATTCAAGCTTGGAACAACTTACAGCCACAATGGAAAACTTGTTTTTGCCATGCCTCAATATTTGAGTAAGATTTTTCTTTTTTTTTTTTTTCTCAACAATATTTGAGTAAGCTTGTTTGTTATTGTGCCTCTTCAGAAAGCATAAAATATAAATAGTGAATAAACCCAAAAGTTTCATCTTGTTCTATTTTCCAGACTAAAACGCTGTGATTTCTATCTTATATCATACTTCTTTCCTATTTGAATGTTGTTTTTTCCCCTTTTATGAGAAACTCAATTTTTTTATTTTTTTATTTTTTTAAAATTTTGTTGCAAGAAATGTCCGCTTTATAATGTCAAATTAAATAACGGATTTTGAAACAGGTAACTTATGATGTGCTAATGGTCTGCTATAAAGTTCATTGCTTTTTGTTTACTGATGTAATTATGTTTTTATGTAGGTTTTGGTTCCCACGTCTCACAACTATGGTTCTGTTTGGAATTGCTTATGTCAACAATAGGAAGCTTGTTCTTTCATGTGAATTGAAATATAAAAGCAATCAAAGCCATTAAGGTTACTGATATTACTATGAGGATTTGGTCATTCTTTTGGAAGAATCTGTATGATTCTTATTCTTGTAGGGAGCATAATTGAGGAAGTGTTGCTCCTCGCCCAGGAGCATAAATGAGCAATCAAAGTCACTTGTTTGAGGTCGTTCTTTCGTTGGCTCACCACTATGAAGAAGGAGCAGTTGACTCCTGCTGAGATGTTGGCTTGACTGTTCTGGAAGAGATCTTCCGCGTCGAAGGAGAGGTTGCCTGCTGTGGAGTTGACTCAGAGGATTTTGCTGGAGGAGTCGACTTTGTCTCCACGTTCCCCTAGTGATCAGTGCAAGGCCCTACAGAAGCTTAACCTATTTGAATATATCGATGGAATTCAGGTTTGCATATATAAATCATGCAGTTTAGATCAGATTAATTTTCTGCAGTTCATTGGCTATGTTAATTCTGAAATAGCTAGAAACCATGTTTTTGTTCAGGAACCAACTTTGGATATGCATATCCTGCGTAGTTTTAAATATTTAGAGTTCTTATAGAGGCCTTTGGTGGTAGATCTGTGAGGTTTTCTTTGGCGGTAGATGTTTGGATGCAAAATAACAGCTCTTTCGTCATTTGTTTTGTTTGCTTGTTTTTTCAAATTTTTGTTGTAATTTTTGTTTCATTATGTTGCATCTAACCCTATGATGGTTATTTCCTTATGCATACAGCAACCGATATGGGCGTGCTAAATGGAGGAAATGCAAATTCTTTTTAGTCAAAGTAGGGTGTTGTAACTTTCAATTGAAGATTTTTATATTGAGATTTTCTTATTTTTTATTTTATTTTATTTATTTTTTTGGATTTATGTCTGAGCAACTACTTTTGGTCTTCGGTATAGTTCTAATCCATTAAGAAATATCGCCAAGAAATGGGCAAGAGGATTCTCCTAGCCACCAACCATTGAGGTATATTAATAAAAATTAGAAGATAAAATTTGATATTTAGTTGTCCATGTTTGTCTGGGAGTTTATTTATTTACTGGGAGAGAGACTCGTATGCTGAACATTTCCATTGAGGAACTGTATTTTTTACAAGAGATTTAGAGTTGTGTTCGAGAACTATTGATTCATTCCTTTTCTTTCTTCGATTTGAATGTAAGCCCCATCATGGTTATCTCATGCAGCATCATGTTGCACTTCCTCCAGATTGCACCGCCTTGGTCGATACATTGAGAAGGTTTGTCTACAGCCTATAGATTTTTTCTTCTTCAATTGGTTTGATATTCATAATCAACAATAGGTTTACATTCATACATGCGCACACAAAGCTTTATTTATTTCTACATCGTTTTTAGATCTTTTTTTTTTTTTTTCGTTTTGTTTTAGTAATTGTCATGTCTGCTGTTGTTGTATTTTATTTTATTTTGCTGCAGAGCCTTGCCAACCGTTATAACGACTGATTGAAATGCAAAGAGATGAAAGGCAATACTCAAGCTCTGCAATAAAAGCCAAGGAACTAGTGAAGCTTCATGCCAATGTAATATATAGAGATGAAAATGTTTTCAGGAATTCATTTGACTGCGTGCATTCTTCCTCTGTTTTCTCTTCTCTGGTACTAATATAGAGTTCTTAATTTCATATTGGCAGACTCTAAGATTTGAACATGCAAAATTGGCTTACTACAATATTACGTTCTAGATGTTCGGTTTCATTCTCACGAATGAAAACATACGAGTAAGTTCATAATCAACTTTTTCAGAATTTTACCTGCCCGATTATCCCCATTGAATTTTATGTGTATGTACCAATGACATTGAGAGAGAACATCCTTTTTTTTATTTTTTTTTATTTTTATTTTTAACATTGCCTAATTTCCACATATATATATTTGTGTAGATGAACCATGTGACGTGAGCTCCAAGGTGCCAACCTACAATGGTGTTGAGAGAGTCTTCTGCCAGTCAATGCAAAGACATTTCGCAATTCTCAGATTTGTCAACGCAATGGGATGATAATCCTCAATTTAAATGGTAATTCTCTAACTGACTGCTGCCAACTAATTCCAAACCAGAGATCTTGATTGCCAAATCGCAACCTCTTAACATTCAATCACTTACTCTCTAATGCAGGAAGGTCTTTCACAAAAGGAACAAATTTCGAGATATATCAAATGATCAATGTTCCAAGAACTATGAGGCTTTGCTCTATGGCTGTACCTACAAATCTTAGATTGATCATCTTCGCTAAATCTCTACGCAGTTCCTTGAGTTGTTTGTATTTGCTGAGTTTCAACAGTCTAATGACTCTGCAGTTTCTAGATGGAACTATAAAGGTCTCGTTCACTTCGCGGATTCGAGTTTTTAATTCGAGTTGAGATGTGACATTTTCTGAGAGCTTTTCACTGTAGCACAAAAAGTTGATGTAACATTTTCTGAAAGCTTTTTACTGTACAAACCTAAAACTGAAAACTCGAATCGGGGAAATGAACGAGGCCAAAGTTTCTCGAGTCTAAGGTCTTGGTGTAGCCTAATTAGTGGCTTAACAATTATTGCCTTACACAGAGGGCACATGCACATCAACTTTCGTCGATTTTGTTGATGGAACTTTGGTGATTTTACACTTGTAATTCGATTACCCTAAGATTTTAAGTTAATTAGAGAGTACAGTGAGATTGAAAGTACACTCTTGTAAATTTCTTATTCATCATAGTGAAGTACTTTAGTGATTGAAAGTGGACGTAGTTCTCACATTGAGTGTGAACCGTTATAATTCTTGTGTTCTTTGTTTGATATTTTACCACAAATAACATAGAATTAGGGGCACGAATTCTTAACAGACTGCTCAAGTATTCAAAATGCTTTGTAGTCTGACCACATCTTTGAACCGCGACTTCTTTCTCTACCACCATGAAAAAACTATCTAATTAATTTAATTAATTTGTTTATAAATTATTAAAATCAACAATTAGTATGAGAGCGGTCACTAGAATTGTTAGGATTATTTCATGTAAAAGCTTGAATCACTACTCAAGTATCACTCACATTGAGTGTGAACCGTAAGTAAGATAGAATTAGGGGCGCGAATTCTTAACAGACTACTCAAGCATCCAAAATGCTTTGTAGTCCAAACATATCTTTGAACTGTGACTTCTTTTTCTGCCACCATGAAAAAAACTATCTGATTAATTTAATTAATTTATTCATAAATTAATTTGATTAATTTATTCGTGTATAAATTAATATATTTTATAGAGTATCTCAAAAGTTTATTAAGATTTTTATAATGCATGATCAGTTAGATACACACTTATGC